TGTTGGAATTATTGGTAGGGGCTACTGGCATTTGGGGACTGAGTGTTACAGGTAGGCAAACATCTCTTTCCAGAGTCTCCAATAAACTGGATTTTCCATACATATTACTTCCCTGTAAACTGTTGCTTTATCTGGGAAGTTATGAAAGACTTGTTGACTGCTTTGGAAAATCACATCACCGCAGGCCATTCCATTCTTGGATCCCACTTTGACACAACATTCCGGTATCAGTTTGCTTCGTAGCTCTTCACGCCTGGGGGAAACGATGAGGGGAATCCACCTTACCTAGCAACAGATCTTTTCTGGGATAAGCTTCACTGCACACCCCAGCTGGCCCCAAACTACTTGTTGCTGTTTCAGACGGGGTCTGCTGCTCAGCCTGGAGTACAGTGGAGAAATCATAACTCACTGCAGCCTTGACCTCCCAGGTTCATGGGATCCTTCCATCTCAGTCTCCCAAGTAGCTGGGACGACATGCAGGCTCCACCACCGCTGGCCACTTTTTTTTTTTTAGAGATGGGGTGTCCTTATGTTTCCCAGGCTGATCTGAAACTCTGGGTTCAAGCAATACTCATGCCTCGAACTCTCAATGTGCTGGGATTAGAGGCAGGAGACACCTCGCCAATCCCTGAACCACTTTCTTATCACAGAAAGCAGGGCAGAGGAGGAAGGTGCCTGCAAGCACCCCTGGGGAACACTGTGTCCTTCTCCATGTTACCCTGCTATTTCCTCTGTACCAACTGCAACATTCTTATTCTTTTGATGTAAATAAGAAGTTTGAGGATACTTCTTTTTTATCCTAAACTGTGGTTTATGGCCATAAAAATCTTCTCCCACTTTGGGGTGTTTTGGAAATTTCTGGGGGCTGCTGCAGTTGTTGGAATGCAAGTAGCAGGGGCTACTCTCATTTGGGAACTGAGTGTTACAGGAAAGCAAGCATATTTTTCCAGAGTCTTCAATAAACTGGATTTTCCATACTTGTCATTCTCTATAAACTGAGGGAGACCTGTATATTGCTTCATCTGGGAACTTAGAAAGCCTTATTGACTACTTTGGAAATCATACCACTGCAGGGCATTCCATTTGTGGATTGCACTCCAACAGAACATTCCAGTATCAGTTTGCTTCACATCTGTGCATTTCTGGGGAAAATAGAATAAGGGAAATCCAACTGACCTACGAACACGATCACTTCCAGGATAAGCTGTTAGTTGACGGGGACACTTAAGTGGGAGATGTTGGTAATGTCATCTCTCATGAGTTGGTGAACACACTGGCTGTGCCCGTTGCTGTTACTGCTGTTGCAGGTGAACCTCCCTCACCAGGCTCTCAGGTCCTTCCTCGAAGGTTGGAAACAAACCCAGTAGGATCTCTGTGTTCTCAGAATAGAACAGAGGCTCTCACAGCCAGGAGGAGAGCAGGGAACACTTGTGGAACTCTAGTGATCTCTACATTATTGGATGAGCAAACCCTGAGTCACAGTGATGGATTTCAGTGGATGTGAAGGGAATGCCACAGGCCTCTGCATCAGGAGCCGTGCAGCAGAGTGAGAGCAACCTGCAGTACTGATCTCAGTTATGTCCTTTAAGGGTCCCAGATGTCAGCAGCCTATTGGTTAGAGTTCTTCACTGTGTGTGCATATGTGCACATGTGTGTGTGAGTGGGTGGAGACAGAGAGAGAGAGAGAGAGAGAGAGAGAGAGAGAGGGAGACATTGAGTTTGAAGACCTAGCTCGTGGAAGATTTGCAACTGACAAGTCTGAATCTCACAGAGTAGGATGTCAGACTGGATACTCGTGGCAGAGGTGATATGAGATCTTAAATCCAAGGGCAGTGTGGAGGCAGAATTTCTTCATCTTGAGGAGGACCCCAGTCTTCTTCTCTGAAGGCTTTCAAGGGACTAGATGAGGCCCACCCACATTGGGGAGGGCATTAGGTATACCCAAAGTCTGCTGATTTAAATTTAAATTCTCATGTAAAGAAAACCCTTTGCTATTGTAAACAGTGCTGCAATGAACACTTGTGTGCACATGTCCTTATAGTAGAACGATTTATAATCCTTTGGATATATACCCAGTAATCAGATTGCTGGGTCAAATGGAATTTCATGGAATATTATGCAGCCATAAAAAACGATGAGTTTGGGTCCTTTGTAGGGACATGGATGAACCTGGAAACCATCATTCTCAGCAAACTGACAGAAGAGCAGAAGATCAAACACCACATGTTCTCACTCATAGGCGGATGTTGAACAATGAGAACACATGGGCACAGGGAGGGGAGTACTACACACTGGGGTCAGTTGGGGGGAAATAGGGGAGGGACGGTGGGGGGTGGGGAGTTGGGGAGAGATAGCAAGGGGAGAGATGCCAGATGTAGGTGATGGGGAGGAAGGCAGCAAATCACACTGCCACGTGTGTACCTATGCAACAATCATGCATGTTCTTCACATGTACCCCAAAACCTAAAATGCAGTAAAATAAATAAATGGAAAAAAATAAAATTAAAAAAAAAAAAAAAAGAAAACCGTTTAAGGAGACATCTACCCTGGTCAAAGTGAACATTTCTCAGGCATCGTGGCCTAGCAAAGTTGACACATTAGCTTTCCTATCATGGCCACCTTATACAAACCCTAATAATGATGAAGGTCTATCTGACCAAGACAGGTGACTTCCTAAGATTCTGTAGTAATCATTTTTATCCACCCCAAGCACAGCACAACTCAGGCTCAGCACAACTCTGGCCAGGAATCTGAAGCTGAAGCTGACATGAATGCCTTCCAGGGATGAGGCAGTGATGCAATAGTCAAGGCGTATATGGAAGAACAACCCCAGAGGGCACAGGTGATACCCCTGAACACCAAGACTTTACCCTTGTTAGGGCAACCCCAATAGGACTGCAGTCGTCAGGGAGGAGCTGGCCAAGGCCCCCAGTGTGTCCTCCTACTGAGGGGCCTTTCCCTCTAAGGTTTCTCGTCCAGTCCAAACAATCGATTTGCATTTTCCGTTTAGGGGAACTGTCAGAAGGCAGTCATTTCAGAATAGTCATTGACACAGGTTCCTCCTCTTCACAAGAGTGGATGACATTCCTAGGGTGTTCTGTGTGGGATGTTTGGGAGCTGGGTTGCCTCTGCTGTCCCAACATCGCAGCTTGGTCAGGTGTAATCTTGGGTTCAGGATTCAGTGTGGTTTCAAAATTGGCCTTAGTGTAAGACTGTGGGCTCCTCACAGGCAGAGAAACCTACCATCTGTGCTGTCACTGAGTATCTCTGATTCAGTGTTGTACTGTGGGTCTAGGGACACAGTACTGACACAATGCTGATCTTGCCTTTGCTGCATCTGTAAGTAATCAACCACTTCATTCTATTTGGACTTAGTCTTCTTAGCTGCCGAATTTATGAATATATGACAAGCCAAAATAACAGCTGCACTGGCGATCCTTGTGACCCTGTTAGTCACCACAGGGCTGCTTACGGACTGCGTGAGCTCTTGATACACTATGACATTGAGTTGTGTGGTGTTGCCTGACCAGAATAGACTTATTCTTCATGGCATCACATACACTAAATAAGTTTTCGGCACATACTACTGACATAGGGTTGGCCTTGTCACACCTCGGTTATTTACAAATCACCTTCAGAATCCATGCCATGTCTGATACCAACCTCACTGGTATTTCATTTACATATTTAAATCAAATAAATTTCTGAAGTCAAAGGCATTTATAAAGGTAGCTTGATATTCCTACTTGAAATTCCAAAGCAGTTACTACACACTAGAGATGTAGTTGGAATGAAAATATTTGAAATTTTAAAGGGATTATGGAACGATAACTAGTAAATTTATCTGCAACGTAATGCCTGCTTCCTATGTTACTTCATTTATTCTTCACAGCAAGTATTTAGTGTAAATATTCTAATTTCGACTTTAGAAATGGGGAAACAGTCTGACAGGATATACGTGTCTTGCCCACCATCTCAAAGCCAGTGTGTGAGAAGCAGGATGGAATCCCACAGCTGTGTCATGCCATAGCCTGTAAGGAGACAGTGTAGGTGGAATCCAAGTAATTTTGCTTCAGCAAGGTTCCCTGGTTGCTTTCCCCTTTCTTCTACCTAGGCCGTAGTTCTGTCATTCAGGTCTGTATCCTAGGGAATTCTCACACATTTTGTGGCAAATGGGATATCCTAACAAAGGATGAAGGTAAAGCAATACACAGGGAAAGAAATGACGGAAGAGGCAGGTGGATTCCAAGGCCTCTGTGGACATGATACTCTCCATGTGTTCAGCTAGGCGGAAGCCCTCTGAACCCTGTCCTTTTGGGTTTTGAGGGAGGTTTTCATCATACAGGCATGACTGATTAAACTGTTGGCTCAGCATTGGAAATCAGCTTAACCTCAGCCCCTCTCCCTGTCCTGAAGGTTGGGGATGGGGCTGCAAGTCCCAACCCTCTAAGCCCCCATCCTAGAGCTACCTTGGAGCTACCAACCATCAGTCAACTCACTAGCATACAAAAAAAATCACTATTTGAAGATTCTAAAAACTGTAGTTGTATGACAGTAAGCAGGGTCCAGGACCAAATATATATTTCACAATATCACACAGGTGTATACCAGCTCAATCAGAATGCAAAGTTGCAAAAATGATACTATTTTTTATTCAGACAGAGTCTCATTCACCCAGGCTGGAGCTGCAGTGGCGTAAATATGACTACCTGCATCCTCAACCTCCTAGGCTCAAGGTACTGTCCCACCTCAGGCTCCAGAGTAGCTGGAACTACACATACATACATACATGCATACATTCATACATTCATTCATTTATTTTTGTTGAGAGGGGTTTTTTCATGTTGCCCCAGCACGTCTCAATCTCCCAAGTGTAAGCAATCCTGCCTTTACATCCCAATGTGCTTGGACTACAGGTGTAGGCCACTGCATGTGGCCAAAAATTCCAATGGTGTCTAATATATGAGAATAAATGAATAAAAGATGTGCAATACTTCTTTGGAGAAAACTGGAAAGATTTATTGAGTTTTTTTAAAGTCAAATATCTCGGATGAATTCAGTTTGCGTTCTTTCAGCTTGTCTTCATTTAATCCTGTGGTTTCCCTTTCCCTACAACAGAAACATAACAGGAGGGAACATTACTAGCTTAACTGTGTTCAGATGAAATTAAAGTATGCAAAGGACACCAAAGTTTTACTTTTATAGAATGGACTAAAACCAGAAGCCTGTGTCCCCCTATGGCTAACATTTAACGAGACCTCTGTAGAGACCTTGAAGATACACTTCCAAGCACAATATACATTAGCAACACTTTAAAAACATACTCTGCTTTTAGTGCTAGAAGAAAACCAAATGGTAGTCCGAGCTCACAATCCATTAAATCAAGTGAACCTGTTAAAAGGTGCTTGAAGAAGATGGCAAACACTGTGTAGAGTTTTACTCAAAATGCAACCAGAACACAAAAAACCCTAAGAAACAGAAGGAATTTCTGAAAAAATTCCTTCAGAAAAAGTGTATAATTTAATGTTTTGGCTTGAAACTATGGCCTAGATGTCCAACAGGCTCCTGCAAATAGTCTGAAAACTATCTTGTGAGAAAACAGTTAATGTCACATTAGGAAACACATACATGAAATGACAGAAAGGATAGTTTTGTGTTTGTTTTTTCTCTATTGTGTGGAAGTGCAATAATATTGTTTTGAGCTAGTTTACCCTTCTTTGTTCTTTTTTAACATACACTAACCATTTGTATCTAGTTTTCACCTATAGTTCTCATGTCAATATGAATGACACATTTTTCACCAGAAAGTATTCTGGTTTGTATAATTAATTAAATGATTATATAAGTTTTAAGGTATCACTGTCATGATTGATATTAAAATGTGAAAGAGATACATCATAACTAGTGTGGAAAAATGGACAGGGAAATGAAAACGGAGAGTAAGACATCTGGAGAAGCTCAAAGTAACTATTTTTGAGGGACAACTGGCAAATTTCACAAGTTCTTCCACAGTCTTTGTGATGTTCAGGTATTCAGGTATTACAGGGACATATTAAATGTAGGCATTCCTAGCATATCAACCATTAGATCCACACACTCTGAAAATATTAGTGTTCAAGAATGTATTCCCTTTCAATTATGCCCAACATTCAATACCTGTGGCTTATTCATATTCTATGTTGTGCCTTTTCCATTTTCTTCAAGATTGTTTACTGGATTCTCCCTTCCTAGCTATTTCTCAAAAACAATCTATTAAATGTATTACTTTTGGACTAGTTTTCCTTTTGTTAATGATTTGTACCTTTCATTGACTGCCTGTTTCCTTTTCCCTTATGTTTCTTCGGTAACTCATTTATTATTTATTCCTCAATATCATTTTCTTGTACCATGTAATTAGCTGTCTATTTTAATAAGGTATATATTTAATGCTATGACTGTCCTAAGAATCCAACTGAGGCTTGTTCAATAGGCCCCTGGAATTTTTTTGAAAACATTCTTTTAATGTAAATAGTCTAATGGAGTTGTTCAGCAGTGTAGAGTACAAACATTTAGGTAATTTCTCCCCTAAACATGTAGTGCTTCCTTTAAATTCAGAAGTTCTTCTAATTAAGTCAGTGATTTGGAAAATATGTGTAATAGATACTTCCATAGACTACTCAGGACTTAGTACGTTATAGTCTTTGAACTTTAAGCCTTATCATTTGAAGACTCAAGGCAGGAACCTGTAATATATAACCTCTGATATGGTTAGAGGTTACCCTGTGTGTCTTCAATCTAATTACACACAGTAGCTCACGAAGACTGACAGGAGGGAAGGGATCATGCTTAGCACAGGCGTCTTATAACCAGCTTGAGCATCACTGACCTTCATGCATGATCCCTACTTCACGGGCCACAAAACATGACTGTCTCTTTCCATTTTATTATTCAGTCATTCAAAGCTTCACTGTGGGAAGACTTTAAAATGCAATCATTGGGTTCAGCAAGGGAGGTGGCTCATGCCTATAATCCCAGCAGTTTGGGAGTCCGGGGCTGGTGGATCACTCGAGATCAGGAGTTTGAGCCCAGGCTGGCCAACATGGTGAAACCCCATCTCTACTAAAAATACAAAAATTACGCACAGTTGCAAACATCTGCATTCCCAGTTACATGGGAGGCTGAGGCATGAGAATTGCTTGAACCCAGGAGGTGGAGGTTGCAGTGAACAAAGATCGGACCACTGCACTCCAGCTTGGGTGACAGAGCAAGACTCTGTGTGAAAAAAAAAATGCAATCATTGCTTACGAGCCTAAGAGAATTCAAGATTTGACAAAATCCAGGAACACTCATGAAGGTCTCCATATAGGAAAACGAACATCAAGCAGAATGCTGGTTCATTTTCTTAGGAGCAATAAAATGTCAACTCAGATATTATGATTGGACTGAAGCTGATTGTTATGATAAAAAAATCATGAAAATGAGAATATCTTTGTGTTCTCCCCAACAAAACCAGAGCATGCAGAAAGCAGCACTGAAATGGATTTTAATCTATCTGATATGCATGCATTACTTTCAATAAAAGCAAAAATGGGTGTAGGATTTACGTGATTTGTCCAGAATCTCACAAATTATGTTAGAGCTGGCACTAGAATCTCCTTGGGGGTCAGCTTATCTCATGCAAGGTGGTATTATAAATGTATTATGTATTTGACAAAAGGAGAAATTAGAAAATAATCTGAAAAGTGTTAGCTGTTAGTTATACTCAGAAGTAAGAAAATGCTTTTCCATTTGATGATTCAATATGGCTTTGACCCAATTTCTGACTGTATCTGATAGTGTTTCAGTTTTGCAGTCAGGCTTCTGGGGTGTGAACTACCTTCCAAAGAAAGTCTGCATTTGAACTGTTTCTCAAGGGGCAGTAATGCTCTTTTTTATTAAAAGTAAAATATTGTGCAATACAGAAAGCATGTAATTTTGAATCTTAATGTATAACATACCTCCTTCTGGCATTTTGCACTGCTCTGATTTTGGTACACTCTTTCCCTGGACATCAGGACCATCTCTGCATTCATCCCCAGTCTTTGACTGAGACAGCTCCTGGAGATCAGCTTCCAGGTCAGGCACTAAAAAATACAAAGGATACAGATTGGGTCACCCAAACAAGAATGATAAATAAGGAAATAATCCTATTCTTTTCCTCAGTGTTATGAAATAAAAGCCTGTAGGCTACTGTGATGCAAATGCGATGCAAAGATGTCTCGCCTTTGCCTTCCTGTATTATGATATCTTATCTTAAATGACAATCTGAGGATAAATCACACCACACCTACATTTCCCATACTTTACCATTGTTTATTATAAACACACAGCTACCTAGGAAATCTGAAGTAACTCAGCTACCTAAGAAATCTGAAGACTGCCCCGTGGATGGCATTTTAATTAAAACTTAAATGTAACTTTCTGAAGGAGTACATCAGTGTATTGGTGGGCCTATGAGAAATCGTATAGTCGTGACAATCATCCCCTGTTGAGGTACCTTGAAAATGTTGGGGTTAAACTTAAAGTAATGCTTAGGTCCAAAGGCCCTATATGTGACTTTCCATACATGAATGTAATTAAGAAAATGTAAGAAATACAACAGCAAAATTACTGTCTTCCAATGAGAGTATGGTAACTGAAGTGCAGAGAAATTAATGGGCATTGTTGATTAGTCATTTTCTGGAACTCCTTTAACAAGGAATTGCTAAAATAATCCATGGCCCAAATTCTGTCTGTCTTCATTTTGATAACACTCTCTGTTGAGGAAACAATTTGTTTCATGATAATCTTATCAGACTTTGAGATTTCTAATTATAAAAATAGTGAAATGACTTTTAAAAGCCCCTTCAAAATCCTACTAATACGGTTACCTGTATGCCAGTGTACTGAATTATCCATCTTTTACCAAACATACCATCAAAAATACACATCAAAGGAAACAGTGGCTGTCATTCATTGGCCTCTTTTCTGGAGTTACTATCCTGCTTCACTGAACTGCATTTAGTCTTGAGCCAATACTGAAGTATGTTACAGTACAGACACATTTGAGTATTAAGAATTTTTAAGCAAAATCATTCACATTTTCTAACATAGATGGTGGGAAGAATGCAAACCTTGGAACAAAATATAAATTCTTTCTCCATGAGTCAGTGTTCTTGATAAGTCTCACTCTCTGAGCCTCAGTTTTCTTATTTATTTAGAGATGTAGTCTCACTCTGTCTCCCAGGCTGGAATGCAATGGTGTGATCTCGCCTCACTGCGACCTCCTCTACCTGGGCTCAAGTGATTCTCCTGTCTCAGCAGGCTTAGCTGGGATTACAGACATGTGCCATAACGCCCAGCTACATTTTGGATTTTTAGTAGAGATGGGTTTTCAACATATTGGCCAGGCTGTTCTCAGACACCTGACCTCAGGTGATCTGTCTGCCTCGGCCTCCCAGAATGCTGGGATTACATGCGTGAGACACTGCGCCTGGCCGCAGTTTTCTTATTTATAAAATGAGGCTAACATCCCTTTGCAAATGGGCTTTATTCAGGGTATTATAAGGTAGGGTGACTTGGCACACCATGTACTATTAAAAGGTGCTTACAACACTGTGGACACCATGGCTGAGAAGATCACACTGCAACATCCTAAGAAGATCAAATTTAATTAGTGCAATAATGTACATTTTCATACAACCAATTAAATGGTTTCATCTGATTTAGGAAGGAGTGTATTTTCAAGCATATGAAATGCATCTTGAAGAAAAAGAGAAGATTTATCATACCCAGGGACTTCAGGAAGCTGCAAACTATAAACATCATATTTCTAGCCAACTCTCAATAAATGTTTGAGATTCTTTCGTAATGTTTTCTTTCCTCCTGTTACTGGTCATGTCATAAGGCATGACGTACACATAGGCCTCCTCCCCCCATAGACATTCTTTCTTACCCTTCCAAGCACCTTGAATCTCAGCTCCACCCTGATCTTCTTCACTATTCTGACCAGGTGTATGATCCTGACTTTCAGCTGGTGGTTCTTCTCGTTGAGGCTTTGGCACACTGGGCTCCTGGGAAAAGGTGTGTGTGTGTGTGTGTGTGTGTGTGTGTGTGCAGATAAAAAAATTTCATATCATTGCATGTCAATAATATGAATATACACATTACATGGATACTTCTGATCATACGCATGTTTAACGACATGCCCCAACACTATCCCAACACTATTCCACATACTTATTCTTCATAAAGTTACTCTTCTCATAGAGAGATAACTCTAAGACTGTTACCCTCAATAGCTTTGGAAGCCATTTTAATTTACATTGAGTTGAATGTGTAAAAAGTGCTATAAATAAGCATGAGGAGGAAATCGCCAGTCAAATCTGGGGAACACAAGATCACACATCCAGACAAAACTAGTATGTAGTCCTCTGGGTTACTCTTTCCTCCATGAGCTGCCATGATCACTTTTTATCAACATGGGAGAACTTCATCAGTATATCTAAACTAATTCTACAACACAACAACAACAACAACAACAACAACAACAACAACAAAATTCTGCTAATAGAAAACATCAAATGTTAAATCACTCACGGCAGGCCGGGCCAGCTGAACAAGTCGCACGTGTCGTATTGGTCTATGTTTTCTTTCTCGCCCACTCATATTTCACTCTGCAAATAGAACAGTGTGCACTTTAGGAAGCAGAAGCTGGTGGATGACTTGAGGTCAGGAGTTCAAGGCCAGCCTGGCTAACATGGTGAAACCCCGTCTCTACTAAAAATACAAAAACTTAGCCAGGCTTGCAGGCAGGTGCCTGTAATCCCAGCTAGTAGGGAGTCAGAGGCAGGAGAATCACTTGAACTCCGGAGGTGAGGGTTGCAGGCAGCCGAGATTGCGCCATTGCATTCCAGCCTGGGCAATAAAAGCAAAACTCTGTCTCAAAAAAATCAAACCAAACCAAACAAAACCAAAAACAAAAAAAACCCCAGAATACTGTGACCGGAAAAACACACGTGAGAAGATACTATATTTGAGCACTTCCAAGGCCATATTTTAATTTGCAATTTTTAAAAATTTGGTAATACATTGAAAAGTCAGTCAGAGGGCATGTATTAGTGTATATGCCTTCTGAATCGAATACTTGCACAACCAATTAAGTTTATCAAGCTAGCTGAGCAATGCCTTAGGGCTCATGGCAAGAGACACACACTATTTCCAATGAGGTTTTGTTTCATAACTGGTCTCTTATTAGTGAGACATTTAAGAAAATACAGCTTGAGAATTAAAATTAAAATGCCCATGGCTTTTGTCATACACCCATTTGCTAGGCCCACTTCCCTTCCAAAATGAAGTTTTGTTGGAATGGAGAGCCCCGACCACCCACTCGAACTTCCAAGATGGAGTTGAGAAGTTGCCACACAGTTGTGGGGGATCCTCACTGGGCTGGCACCTCTGAGATTCGCTAAACAAACCCTGGGGCTGTGAACACCAGCCCAGAGCGTTACCACTTTCCAGACCTCTTCCTTACCGCCCACACTGTCGCAGCCCTGATCCCCCTTGAGGAGTATGGAATCTGTCCTCTGTTAGGGGTTCCAGGCGTTTCTGGGACTTGGATACTGACAACAGCACCTCAGCATCACCCTATCTTCACCTAATTGCTGCTCCCTGCCCCTGCCGCCCACTCGAAGGCCCTTCTTTTTAGTTCGTTCTGACTGCGACAACACAAGAAGGCCCACAGCCATGGAGCCGCATGAGAAGGACGACAGCCTCATGGCCCTTCTCCCTTGTAGTCATCGACCAAGAGGCCCGACCCTCGGAAGCTTGCTGTCTCCTCCTCACCCTCACTCACACTTCAACTTCCAGTGGGATCTGCCTGTGGGCCTAACCGGCTGAATCCATTGTACATATGGTCTTGGTCTAGGCCTATCTTGATCTTCCTTGTCAATTCATATTTCACAATGCAAACAGAAAGCTGTGATTGGGAAAATGCACTTGACAGGGTAGGTATATTTGATCACTTCCATAGTGAAATGTCAACTTGCAATTTTTACAAAACATTTGGTAATACTTTGAAAGTAAGTCTCGGGGCAAGTGAGTGTGTGCGCCTTCTGAAACAAATGCTTGCACACGCCCTTCAATTGGTCAAGCTACCTAAGCAATGTCTTAAGGCTCCTGGCCAATGACACAGGGTTATTTCCAATGAGGTTGGTTTCACAACTGGACTCTTCATCGTGGAGATCTTTAGAAAAATACAGCTGGTGAATTAAAACTGCAATGATCACGGCTTTTATCACACACCCATCTGCTAGGCCCATTTCCCACCTAAAATCAAGTTTTGTTGGAACGCAGGGTCCCACCCATTCGAACCTCCACTGTAGAGCTGAGAAACTGAGACGAAGCCCTGGGTGCTCCTCACTGGACACCTGTGCCAAGCGGTCTATATAGCTGTGAGCTCCCATCTCTAACCCACTGTGTTCCAGATCCTCTCCTTACCTCCCACCCAGCCCTTTCCCGAGTCCTTAGGAAGGAGTCTGGAATATGTCCTCTTTCTGGGGTTCCAGGCCCTTTCAAGACTTGGATGCCTCCAAAAGCACCCCTAATGGTCTGCCCATCTTCACTTGACCCCGCAACTCCACAGTGCAACTTCCTCCCTCGTTCGGAACCCACCACAAGGCTCAAGATGGTGCCCCAGCATGAGGAGGACTATCACCTCAAGATTCTTTACGTGGGAGGCCACGGACCACACTGCCCCATGCCCTGGAAAACCACAAGCTCCTCCTCACACTCACTCACACTTCCACTCCTGTGAGGACTGGTCTGCAGTGGTAGAAAGGGCCTGGACCGCAATAAAGTAACCCTCACACCCTCACAGCTCTGCGACGTTCACCATGTGGTGAAGAGGCCGATGGGAAGACGCCCAGTGAACATGCCCACTGAGGCAGGTGGGCACACCAAAAGCATGCGCAGTGAGGTTGGTGCCTGCCTTGTGGGTTGTGGCCCTGTCTTCTTGCCATGGCCGGCCGTACCCCGCCTACCCCACCCCACCTGCACCTAGCAGTCCTGTGCTCTGTCCCAGGTCCCCACTGAGGACTTCAGAATGTGCCCTCTGTGCGTGGTTTCCTGTGCTTCCGGGACTCAAATACCACAAAGAGTTTCCCCTTCAAAACTCACTCTATGTTCACGAGGCCCTCTTCTGCCCTATGAACCTGCTGCCTTCCCTGTCCAGGACCCGCACTACAGCAAGGACAATGCTGCATCTTGGCCTGTTAGGAGAAGGACAGGGACCACAAGGTCCTTTCCCCTAGGAGGCCGTGGACCGTGCCCGCGGGCTCCTCCTCACACTCTCTCACACTTCAACTCTGGGAGGACTGATCTGCGAACCTACTGGCTGAGTCCTAGTGGGCACCGCAGAAGGAAGTCACTACGTCTCCTTGCACAGCTCTGCAGACAGAAGGCAGACAAACGAAGCACATGCCCACAAAGGGACTTGTGCAGCAAGGGGCATGCACACTGAGTCAGGCACATGCAGGTCTGGCCAGGGTTTTCCCACTGTTCCCTCACCGAGTCCCAGGTTGTTTGTAGTAGAAAGAAAGGGATGCGAGACACTTTTTTTTTTTTTTTTTTTTGTCTCTTGCCCACCCATTCTCATCGATTCAGAAACGTTGCGAACAGAGAGTTGTATGTCACCATTAGTAGGGGGTGTGTCTTAGAAAGACCTTTTGTGACAGAAATAAAGAATTTTATGTCTTTATTTACACATGATTTTTCTCAGGGTGTTTTTTTTTTTCACCCATGTCGGAGGACAGTGGCATGACCATGCTTCACTGCAGCCTCCATCTCTTGGGCTCAAGCAATCCTCATCACACTGTAACCTTCCGTGTAGCTGAGAGTGCATGTGACCACCACAACACCCACCTAATGTATTTTATATATATATATATATATATATATATATATATATATATATTTACATGTGGGGTGTCAATGTGTTGCTCAGGCTGCTTTCAAACACATGGCCTCAAGTGACCCTTCCATATCTGTCAATATTTATACATGCTTTTTATACATGTTGTATACTCAATTAATTCACACTTGTATGCTTTTTAAAAGTTGTGAGTACATGTATTTTTCATAATAGACAATAGCTCGGCTATTGCTTCATACTATAGGGAAATCCATAGTCTCCCAAGAGTGACAACTTTATTATCTCTATGCCTTGACTCTTCCTGTATTCAAAGAAAGCTTTCACCATATTTTAGTGAGTCAGGGTCTTGCTGGAGAATCACACTGTTGCTGCCACTGTGTCAGGGACCCCCAAGGCCACCCTCACCTTCAGTGATTCACAGACACTCTCTGCTGCCCTTCTGCATGCAATACTCCTAACTCAAGCCAGCCCCCTCACTTCAGGTAAGTATACCATGCCTCCCACCTTGTCATGGGCTTTGCTCCTACAATGATTGATCACTCATGCCGCCTGAACCATCAACTGCTCCATCTACATTGGATCATTTCTCAAACTAAGGGAAAACTCACCTTCCCTCATGTCTTTCTGTAGCTACTAACACATTTATCAACTGTCTGGCAGAGGAAAACAGCACGAGCTTATGCAACACACTTCATTACTGTCCATTTTCAAAATTATCTACAAAGGAAATTGAACCAGAATATCCAAAACTTTGGGGAATTCAGCCTACATGATGTCAAGATTCACATTAATTCTACTTTATTTATTTATTGATTATGTTATCAATGAATTGCAAGAAGGTGAGATCCCCCTTGGATTGGGTATTGATCCCATATAGAGGGAGCTGTTGATGATTCAAGAGAGAGGAGTGATCATGCAGGAGCAAAGCCCATGAGAGGGTGGGAGGCATGGGATCCTCAGCTGAGGTGAGGGCGCTACCTAGTGTTAGGAGGATTGTATGAAGCTATTTATTATGATTTTTAATCATTCAGCCCCACACGGCAATCATGTTACTTCTCCAGTGTTCACGACAGTGTGGTATTGGGGAAAAATCAACAGACGAAAATAGGGTCTAGCAACAGACTCACAAACATAATAAGCTGATTTTCAGAAAAGGGGCAAAGGCAATGGATAAAGATTCTCTTTTAAAAAAGTTGTGTTTGCCACATGTTCTCACTCATAGGCGGGTGTTGAACGATGAGAACACATGGACACAGGGAGGGGAGCACTACACACTGGAGTCTGTTGGGGGGAAATAGGGGAGGGACAGTGGGGGGTGGGGAGCTGGGGAGAGATAGCATGGGGAGAAATGCCAAATATGGGTGATGGGGAGGAAGGCAGCAAATCACACTGCCACGTGTGTACCTATGCAACAATTTTGCATGTCCTTCACATGTACCCCCAAACCTAAAATGCAATAAAATAAATTAAAAAAAAAGTTGTGGTGTTTGCTCCTGCCTCATGGCCACTACATTAATTGTTTTTTATTCCTCTGGTTCCCCTCCCTGCGTTTCTCCTCTGCACTTCAACTGCTCTTCTGTTTGTCTGTCTGCCCCACCACAGCGCACTATTTCCCACAGCAAGTACCAAGTGTCTTTGTGATATCTGATATGTCCATCCCATCAGTGATAAACTGGATCAAGAAAATGGGGTACATATATACTGTGGAATACTATGCAGCCATAAAAGAGTGAGATCATGTCCTTGGTAGGGACACAGATGGTGGCGGTGCCCATTATACTTAGCAAACTAACGAGGAACAGAAAACCAAATACCAGATGTTCTCACTTATAAGTAGGAGCTAAATGAGAAAACACATGGACACATGGGAGAAGCATCACACACTGGGGCCTACTGGAGTGTGGGGGTGGGCGGAGGGAGAAGATCATGAAGAACAGCTTGTGGATGCTGGACTTAATACTGGCGTGATGTGATGATCTGTGCAATAAATCACCGTGGCACACATTTACCTATGTAACAAACTTGCATATCCTGCACATGTACCCTTGAACTTAAAGTAAAATTTGGAAATAAAAAATGTCAATATCTCAGAATCCTTCTTTCTATGTCTTGGTCATTGTGTCATTTATCTAAGCATTATGGTGACATAAAAGCTGAGGCATAACAACAGTTAGTATGATTAGGAATTTAGCAGGATTATAGCCCAGTATGATCTAACATCAACTACTAATATTGAATTGCATTCGACTCCTTGAAGCACTTAAGGAAAGTTGATAAGAAAAAATATTCATTCTTGAAAATATTTTAAAAATTTATGTAAAGTGGATCAACAGTGTTTACCACATATGTCACTGTCACTGAATGCTGATGAATTACAAATAGGAACCATAAGATACAGTCAATAATAAAAGTAGAAATAAAAGGGAACATATCAAAGTACCATCAGAAGAGTACAGAAGCACACACATGAATACACCCTGCAGCTAATCAGTCTTCCTTCTCACTAACTCATCAGTTCACAAATGAGTTTACTGAGGGTCAAATATCCACAGAAAAACTGACCAATTTAAACATCACTGAGTGTGAGTTCAAGCATTATGCAGAAAGCTACAGACAACAGTGAACTTATTCTGAGCAAGTCTTAATCCATAATCTCTCCACAGATGGCTAGAGAAAAGCCCCGTAAACATTTTTTTCTGATAACCCCTCAGGTAGTGATGTTCAAACTCTTTTATGATAGTGTTTGAGAAATACACAGTTTGTATGTAGTCGACTAGGAAAATAAATATGTGTATGTGCATGGGGATGTGCAGTATG